GCGGTTTTGCAGTTCATGCCAACAACCCCTCTTCCCATCAAACGGTTGAAAGTTGAAACCACCGACTTTTCCTTGGAAATATATATGTATTCAAAAGAAAACCCAAAACCCAGAAGGAATAGTAAGTTTTGTTTTCCTGTGATACATATGGGGTTATAGTGAGAGAGCTTTCATTTTCATTTTGATTAACAATTATGAAGACAATGACGAGCGGTATGATGAACGGCGGAGATCGGATCAAGGGGTCGTGGAGCCCACAGGAGGACGCGGCTCTGATCAAGCTGGTGGAGCAGCATGGCCCACGAAACTGGTCCCTCATTAGCCACGGAATTCCAGGCCGCTCAGGCAAATCTTGCCGCCTCAGGTGGTGCAATCAGCTGTGCCCGAGCGTACAGCACCGCCCCTTCACACCCGCCGAGGACGCCATCATCATCCGGGCCCACTCCATCCACGGCAACAAGTGGGCCACCATTGCCCGCTTCCTTCCCGGCCGCACCGACAACGGCATCAAGAACCACTGGAACTCCACTCTCCGCCGCCGTAGAAGCGGTGCCACAGAGAATCCTTCTTCTCCGTCATCTCCGTCGAGTTCCTCCGATGTGGCGGCGGCGGAAGAGGAGAATTCGGAGCCGGTATTGAAGCGGCAGAGAATCGGCGCGTCGCCGGAGCGTAACCGCTTGGACGGGATCGAGACCACGCTGACACTGTCGTTGCCGGGAGATAAGACGGTGCCAGTGCCTGCGGCGGAGGAAATGCCGGTGAGCGACGTCGGATTGAAGAAGGAGGAGGGAGAACGAGGAGCGGTGGAGATGGAGGAGAAGTGTTTGATTGCGCTCATGCAAAGGATGGTTGCCCAAGAGGTCAGGAATTACATTGATGGCTTACGGGCCAAGGGTGCTCTTGGATTTGGGCTTCAGTCTGCGGCCCAAAATGGCCCATATGATTAAGAGTTGCTTTCGCACTCTCTTGACGTCATCTACTCTTTTTTCCCTTTTCTTTTATTTAAAAATGGTTTCCGGTCTGCTTGTTTGTGACTTTTCTTGCCTCGAAAGCTCTTCGAGCTAGATCGTAGAAATGAAGATTAAATAGCGAATGCTAAAGAATAATTAGTTTAGTTCAAGTTTTATCTTGAATTCGAGGAAATAACATGTTGCCTTTTTGCTTTAACACAATTTTTAAAAAATGATGATCAGAGTATCATGACTTTTGCTGGTGGAAGAACTGGCAATAATAGCCAATGGACGAGAAAATTTCAATATACGAAATAGATAAGATCAAGCCGACGATTAAAACCATACATCTCAATAATTAATAAATAACATCATAGGCAGCACACAATAGTTTGTTCGAGACAAATTTTTGGAAGAGAGAAATTTCTTGATACACTTGTCTGTAATTGTCAAAATAAATGTGTAATAGGCCTTGTTTAGTTTGTTGTTCGAATCCGTAGTGATTTCGTTTGAATTGTAGAAGTGATTTGATTTGAATTGTAGAATTTAAATTCGAAACCGGTATTTGAATATGTAAATAAATTATAATTTAAATTAAAAATAAAATTCAAATTGTATTTGAGTAAAATGTTAAAACTATCATTAAAATTTTGTAACAAATGTTATAAAACATCACTGTAAACGACATGTTTAAATATTTAATAAATTATTTGAATAGTTCCTCTTTATTTTTAAAACAAACACTAATTTAAACTTTTAGACACAATTCAAATTGAATTGTTTGGTTCAAACAGTTTGAACCAAACAGGGGTAGTCTTCTGCGGTTTGCATGATTCCTTACAATAAGAGTCATTCTATTGCAAATGGGCAACGCCCCCAAGATATACTTTACTTATTGTTTGCTGCCGGAAAAGATTGCTTTGTTGGATTGCTTCACATCGTATGAATTAGAATTATACAATCAGTACGAGAGTTGGAAAATGGACTCGAATCACTGTCCATTTTTTATGTTTCTAAAGAGTATCTAACAAACGATATTCTGCCATTTCATTTATAATAATAATAATAATAATATATTAGATTAAACACCATATAAGTCAGAGACACTAAAGATTGCTTTGTTGGATTGCTTCACATCGTATGAATTAGAATTATACAATCAGTACGAGAGTTGGAAAATGGACTCGAATCACTGTCCATTTTTTATGTTTCTAAAGAGTATCTAACAAACGATATTCTGCCATTTCATTTAAAATAATAATAATAATAATAATATATTAGATTAAACACCATATAAGTCACAGACACTAAAAAGCATATAGGTTATATGTATCTGAAAACGATATTAATTTCCTGCTATTCACGTAGGATAAGTCTCTAAGTAGGAACTAACTGAATTCAGTTGGCCAACTTGAGCTTATAATTTGAGTTTGACTAGTTCGAGGATCAAACGCACGTACCAAACTTACCGATCTTGATTTATAAATTTATCTTCCAGTTCATTTCCTCAAAAAGTTAGGCCAGCTAAAATGAAACCGACAGACATTGCAGACCAAATGAGACGAGGGGCTATATACAAGAAGTTCTAACAACATTTCGCATTCAACTATATTGATGGCATCTCACCAAGTTTGTTTTACTGGTTTTTCTTTAACACAACTGAAACCAAAATTGTGACTCACATTCAAATTGTTCTGGACGAGTACGGACACACATCATAGCCAAACAAAAACCTCGTGTTTATCTACATGGGGTCAAGCCATAAACAAAACCCTTGAATCACAATTCATGTTTTAAAATACTGACTACAATCCTCTACCACACAGTGGGGACGTTTAGTTTGTGAATTCAAAACCATAATTCAGACTTATTCTCGTTTTACGTATGTTTTTTGTGAGAAAAAATACTGTAGCAAGTCACGAACCATAATTCGAATTATAACACTGAAACCAAAATTGTGACTCACATTCAAATTGTTCTGGACGAGTACGGACACACATCATAGCCAAACAAAAACCTCGTGTTTATCTACATGGGGTCAAGCCATAAACAAAACCCATGAATCACAATTCATGTTTTAAAATACTGACTACAATCCTCTACCACACAGTGGGGACGTTTAGTTTGTGAATTCAAAACCATATTCAGACTTATTCTCGTTTTACGCGTGTTTTTTGTGAGAAAAAATACTGTAGCAAGTCACGAACCATAATTCAAATTATAACACAAATTCTCTTTCCAAACGTCCCCTAAAATTAGATACAAGCAAATTCTTTCTGAGAAACGAATCAATACACAACTACATAAAATGTGAAGTTCTAGAAGTAGACACCACCGTGAAAGCCCCAGCACAAGAATCTCCTAATAAAAATTCATTGTAGTAAACTATCCGACAAACTAAAGACTCGGTGCAACATCTATGACTCTACAACTCATCCATTCAAAATGGACATACCAAATTTCTTAAGACTCATTCATTTTACTGATTCGAGTTAAAAATTCAAGTTTTGCTACCGTAAAAAGCTCTAAAAAACAGTCACATTTAATTTTTTTTTTTACTACAGTAAAAAACTCACATAAAGTCACATCTCAACTCGAATTAAAAATTCAAATTAATGAACTAAACATGCCTAGGCCATGATATTATCCTGCTTCAGAACAGCTTACTAGAAATTCTTACCGAACTGCATGATAAAACTAGACAGTGATCCCTGGATAAAGAAACGTGAAAAACAACTTATATTCCATCAACAGGTCAAGCCACTAAAATAATGAGACACGTTCTTTCAACTATCAAGTGCAGTTACAATTTATAGCCATCACCTCAACATGTATAGCTACTAAAATCCCAACAACTTGATATCCGGTTCAAATAGACCACGATAACAAGCTCCTAGAACATTGCTCAAAGAAATAAACAATTCACAAATCCAGGAAAAATTCTCAGCTCCCAATACTTAATATAAGAAATTATAATTAAGAAAATAACATTACGAACGAACAATAACAAACAAAAGATTAAACCCAGAAACAAACATGTACCAAGCATTCCCATTACGATGCGCCATACATACCAAACCACATTTAACATAACCATAAGAGATTCATGAAAACCCAAAAGATATGAGAAGCAATTGAAGAAAACAGGTTTCAATAGCTCATAATAATAAGGTCTACAAACAGACTGAAATTAACAAAAATTTGTCCGACTAGAAAACCACTATTGCGCATTGATCGGTACTAATTAGGTAACAATAAAAGTCAAAACAAACGGAAAATAAAGAAAACGAACGCCGATCCATTGAAAAGAAGAACTACTTGGATCTCTGTCTCATCTTTCGGCGCTTTCTCTTCAACCTCCTCATACGCTTCTTCTTCCACTGTCGCACCAAAATTTACAGGAACACAATAAGAACAAGAGAAATGAAGGAGAATTCATGAATCATACTAGTAATCGAGATCAAAAGGAAACTTGCGTCAGAATTTCAAAGCTTACCTTAGCTCTCATGGTGACGCTTCGCACGAGTTTGCTTTCAAACCCTAGATGATCAGAGAAAGGCTGAGTCTGCGGAGAAAGTGGCTGCAAGGGGGTGCGATTTCGGCCTCGGCAGATATTTATAGGTCGAGCTTAGAAACCCTAATGTGCCTTTGAAACCGACTTGGTCTTATCCCATTTTAGGCCACGTTCGGCCCTCAGCTGGCCCAGTTTGTGATATCCAAACCTTAGCCCACTAAATTGGATCATGGCCGGTTAGAGATTTCCCCCGCCTATAGTGTACTTAGGATGCTGCATATGAGAAAAGATTGAACTTATTTCGTGAGTCTAGATTTTTAACTTTATTTTTAATTAATATCCTTTAGAATAATATAATTATTAGAGATTGATACACTCTAAAAAGTAGAGATCTACAGAGACGGAAATCTGCCCCTAATGGGGGAGGAGATGGGGGATAATAATTAAAAATGGGGACAAGGTGAGGGCAAAATCTTATCCCGAGTTATGACGGGACTGGACGAAGTAAATAATCCTTACCCTGCATTCGGCCCGATATACATACAATATACATTTTATATAAATATAAATATATAATATTAAATTTTTAAACAAAATTAGTGTTTTTGTGACACTAATACTTGGTTTGATTTGTATATGATTTGTTTTATAGAACTTAATTTGACTTTGATTTAAATTTACACATCATTGTTTTAAATTACTGTAAATTTGAAATGAATAGTTATATTAGATGAGGCGGCATGGGAAAGATCTCCTCAATGAGAAATCTTCGACCCCAGCCCCATCTTTGCTTAAGTGTGGATAGGACTAGGATGGGGATTGCTTTGGGAGGTAGGGATGGGGACGGGAAATTATTCACCACCCCGTCCTGTTGTCATTCTTATTAAAGAGTATATGTCTCATTTTCTCTATGTACATCGATACCATTTCAAAGTTTAGTATCCACCTCTACAACATTGATGTAAAAAGCCAAAATTAAGTTCCTAAAATAAAGTATTTTTGAAGTCAAATTCCCATGTAGCTACCATTCTCTAATATACCTATTAGTCTATCTAAAATGAAATGAATGGAAATTTGAGTATAAATTAGGTTGTGTATCATTTTAAAGTCATTAGGTTTGCAATTTTACAAAAATGATGTATCTGAATTCCAACTCTAGAAGTGAATTCCCCCAATGCATCAATAAATTTAGTTTTGTGTCGCTTTTGAGGTGTAATTATTTACATTGGAGAAAAGTACATGGTTTATCATGATTTGTGCATGTATGTTGTTTATGTCATTCTAAATATTGAGTACCATGTGACTTTTTGTTTTCTCCTTATTAATTAAATGATAATTGTTCATTTTTGAATAGAATGTCATAAATAATATTTTTTATCGTATTGAGTGGTATTTCAGGTTTTTTCCTATTTACTTGTACCATTCTCACGTGTAAACTTACGTTTAAGTTTTTTTTTTTTTTTTCATAAAAGTGATTTATTCAAAACCAATTCACTGACTTTAATTTTTTTCCCTCAAATTCCTCATGTCTCTAAATTTCCTATCTCTCACCCTCCCTCTCTCTTATTCTTACTCTCTACTACGCATTCCCTCCACTCTCGCCATTGTTGTAACCTAGTACCATAATCGTACCTCTACCAAGATTCCGCCACTGTGACCATCGAATTGCTCTTAAGATCCTTAAAGATTTTTCTTCTTGTATTTAAGTTTTTTTTATTTATACACATTATTTTTTATTTGTATTAAAGTATTTTGTGTTAGTTTGATTTTGTAGAGAAATATTGTTTATGATTATGAATTTAGAACATTTGTGTTGTTTCTATGTTGATGATGGTTTTGAGGAAGAGGGTTTTCAATATATTTGAAAATTGTTATTTATATGTCGTTTGGTGAAATATATGATAATTTTTTAAATTTATGAGTAATATTTGAAATTTTATTTTTTGAACAAGAAAATAAATTTGGTTAAAACGATTTTTTTACTCTTATTTTCTATCATGTTTCACGTGCATATCAGATGACATTCAAAAATTGTCGTAGTATGTGTTCCAAATATTACGACTCAGAATTTCACTAATGCTTTTAATTAAAGCGCCATTATATCCTTTGACTACTATTTTTAACCGTTGTTACTTCTCTTTTCGTATTCTAGCTATTGTGTTAATCATGTGATAGACAATTTTTAATAAAACCTAGCATTAAAAAAAGAGGTTTTAAGAAAATAATGATGGCAGTTAAGCAAACAAATTTGAATTAAAAAAAA